TCACAGGTATCCAATCATTCTTATCACATTTTGGTTCCCGTATGTCGTACTTCCGTGCTTCAATCATCTTTTCCTCGAACTGCTAAGTTGTTTGAGGTGGGTGTCTAGGGTTGCGGCAAGTCACTCTTCCCTTGCACCCATACGACCAAGCGTCTCAAATAGCCTCTGCTGAGGAAATCCTACTCACTGCCCACCAAAGTTAGAGGATGAAAATCCGACATCCGGGGCTATAACCGGGTTGGTGAACCACTGGTAGTTCATCTAGGGGAGTTGATCAAAAACCCTGATTCCAAACCAACCAAGAGGAGGCGTGCGAACCAGGCACACAAATTTTCCCGGTCGTGGCAGTGGTCACCGGTTCGATTGGGCATCGAGGCGTATTGGGCACTTTGGACGTTTGACCCCGTGCAAAGGGCGTATGATCCGATGAACTGGACACCAGCCCCCATGGACTGCGATTTTCACACTTCGCCCCGCTGCCTTGCGGATCAGGCTTTGGCTGGCCGAAGGCTTCGGTCAAGGATTCCTCACGATTATTCACCTGCCTTGGCCTGGGCAACCTGGCAATATTCGGCCCTTATGCAAATCGTGAAACTCTTGAAAAGCAGAATCAATAAACTGGATCTTACACGAATGTGCCCTTACTAACTTTTTTACAGTATTCTCTTTGTCTATGGGGCCTTTTTCTTTTAATGTAACTTACATTGTGCAATGAAAAGAATAGAAAATGTTTGCTGCTTGGTTGAAAATTCTTCATCCAACAACGCAAGAACACATGAAAGGGAGAGCAGTAAAAGATTCACCGAATAGTCTCACGCGCATGAGCTTGACTGAATTTGACTAAAATACAAATATAGTATTTAGCACTTAATAGATTTCAAGAATAGTCAGTAGATAGAAATAAGTTTTATGCATAGTTCTCTTGATCATTGTAATCGATAAAGACAGTAACCGAAATCAGTCCACCCGATAAGGAATCTCCCTAAAGAACAACTGCCGAAAATTGAACGGAGCAATCAAAGAGACGAATGATAAACGATAGGTGAAGGGGTAAGCATAGACCTTTGAGGCCACTGGAGACAACTTACGGCGCACATGTCTAGGCTTGCTCGTGTCATGTTCAGAATGAAGTCAGATAGCAGAGGGTGGAATTGCATTTGTTGGTGTAAATATTCCACATTCTCCCGATGCACAATTTTTTTCACACGGGGTGTAACACCAGAATTGGCTGTGGTCGAAAAAGCTGCGAAGAAATAGAAACGGGAAACATCGGCGAGACAAAAAGAGGAAACGAACAGGTAGCGATTCAGTATGATACAGCAGATATGTACTAGCAATTTTTCTTGCCTCAGTACCCAATCACAAAACGAATTAAAACAAGGCATACAAAAGTGAAGTGAAATCAATCTGTGCTGACTCTGAAAAAGAGTCGTGGTTGTGTTCACAAACGACTTCCTGGGAGGAGCTCATAAATGTCTCTGTCAGCAATGCCGTTTTGAACGATAGGTTGAACGCTTCGAGGCTCAGTTCAACTGGCCACCATCGAAAAGAAGCCTGTCCGCTGAGAAAATACTGTCAATTTATATCAGTCCTCATTTTTTTATTACATAAGAAGTGATTTACAGCAAAGGAGGTAAATCCCATAATCAATGACATAATTAAAGGGAGAAGGTATGTGGGGGAACATTCAAGTGAGAACCACTGGGGGAAATAAGATTGAAAGATAGAAATCTGACATCAGGGGACAGAAACCTGATAACGATGAACACCCATCTGAGAACGAGTAAAGGTCAATGGGAAGGAAATCGCTGAAGGGAGTTCGGAAGAGCAGAAACTAAAATAGTGACAATAGAAAAAAGATAAAGAAGCAACTGCCCGGCGATGGAAAATAGACTGCAGGATGGCCATTGAACACGGTAGAGGAAAGCAAGAACGGAATCCGAAGCCCCACCCCATACGTGATGGATGGCTGGATGCATGGGAGGAAGTAAGGTGGAGTGGAAAGCCAACGGGGAGCGATGACCTTCGCTTTTTCGTGGGGTCCACAAAAAATGAACCGGAGGAATTAAAATTTGAGGAAAGGAAGAAATTACGTTAAACTGCTTTGGCGAGAGGCCAGAAAGTTCGGTAACCGGTGGCGGGTGAAGCTAAACCCTCTGCCTTGTGGTGAATAAGGTGTTCTTTAGCTCTCTGTAAGATTAGTGAACATTTGTTTGGCTTGAACGAAGCGGTTGCGGAACGTTGGGTTGGATGATCGTCACTAACAACGGAATGCTGAGTTTGTATACGTAAAACGCAGTTGCAAACATCATTAAACCACTCACGGGATCGTGGTTTGCCAGGTTTTGAAAAATTCGAAATACATACCTTGAAGAAAAATTTATGTGAAGGTTGAAACAGAAGTGGAAAGTTTTTAGGGAGGGAGATCTAATCTTGGTTTTGGAGTTGACGAAACTCCTGGGAGAGGGAACAGGTTCCAACAGAATGGCGTGAATCGATGATCTTACCGATTTATAAGAAAGGTGACAGATCCTATTGTGAAAACCACAAGGGAATTAGTTTACCCAGCATTGCCTCTAAACATCTCGCTGGGATCGTACTAGGTCGATTGTTTCCCGCACCTAAACAGTGCGCGCGTGTGAACCAAGCTGCTTTTAGACTTGGTTGAGGTTGTATCGATCGCATTCTCACTCTTCGTCAAATTCTAGAACAGACATTTGTTTCGTAAACCCACCGTCTCTGCTTTCCTCAATCTGAAAGCTTCCTTCAACTGTCGAACGACCTATACGCTATACTCTGGTGCTGCCTTTCCTTGAAGAGTGCGCCTAATAATTTTATTTCAATTTTGCGATCTCTTTATACTAATAGCCGAAGCCGAGTTCAAGCTAACGATACATTTTCGCCCGAGTTCACCAAAGAAAGTGGTGTTCGTTAGAGTGGCTCTTTCCTTTTCTATTTAAATTTGTTAGAGATTTGTTAATGAAAACAGCCCTATCCTAGTTCGATCCCAGATGGCAGACTGTCTGATTTGGAGTACGCAGACGACATAGTACTGCTAAGTCAAAATACAGATAAGCTGCAAGCTTTCCTGGATGGCTTGAGTGCTGGTGTTTCCACAGTCCGCATGCATTCTCCACACTCAAATTGCAAAATATTGCTGTAAGACTGGGTTGGTCCAGCTTGCAACCTCACTTCAACAAGAGAGGTGATCAAGCAGGTGGACAATTTCTGTTATTTGGCAGCTACATCTCACCTGGGGGCGCGTCACAGATGAAGTGTCAGCATTTCATCATCATACAGAAGGCTTGATTGGGATTTACCAAACTGAGACATCTGCGGCGGCGTCGCGACATCCGGCTGACTGTGAAGAGTCGAGTATATGCTGAAGCAGCTTGACTAATTCTGCTCTACGGTTCAGAAACTTGGCGGGGTTCGAATATCGCTGTCTGAGCGGAATTGTACGAGTCTGGTGCTGAAACCAGACACGCAACGCTGAGGTCAGGCGCAGAGTTTAGGGTATTCGCGGATGTCCACTGGAGCAAGTGCTCAACCTCCACAGAATGCACTGGTTGGGACATGGGATGCGCATGTCACCAAATACGTTGCTACGGTGTATGCTGTTTGATGAGGCAGGTGTTGAATGGAAAATGTACAGGGTGGTTAACCTCAGAGCTGACATATTAAACCCTGATCATGACACTGGGTCACATAGGTACTGTTGGCTTCCTTCAATGGGGGTCTCTGGATTATTGTAGCCGTTGGTTAGAGACACTGAGCGATATGGCTGGGTGTCGCAAACAGTGACGCTCAAACAAACTTAGTACATGTGAATTCCCCATCTTCACTTTGACTCAGATAGCAAAATTCCATTCCTCATTCTGGTATTTTATCCAAATAGGCAGTCATGAGACAGCAAGCAAAACCGGCGCACGAAAGTGCATGGTTAATGGTTGTTCAAACTGAAACTGAAATCAAACTCGTATGTACCATGCAGATATTCGTTTTATCTTCAGTTTCTAGTTTTCAGGTTTTACTTCCTTGGCCCCATCTGTGTTGTTTCTCACCATTTTTGCACCAAAGAAACGGTTAGACTACATCTTTCTTGTCTGCAGTTTACTTGTCTCACATGGCAGAAAGCTGTCCATTCAAAATATGGGAGGTATGTGGTGACTGCAGTTGACACATTAATAACGTCTGCTTACTCTCATGGAACAAGGGAGATATTGATAGACATGTCTCCGTTATTCGATCCAGATATCGATCGGCGTACATTCACCTAGCCAAAATGATCAACTTACCGGCATCCCCGGCCACAGAAAGTCTTGGTAACTGTGACTGAAAATCCTCACGCTCGTAGAATAAAATATAAGCACACCACCACCGTTTACTGGTCCAACTATATGGATCTTCACCCCCAAACCACTGGGCCCGAGCTTCGTCTTCGTTGTCCATTGGTACAACAGACACCTTGAATATGGTAGTGAAAAAGGGAGGGGAGTAGAGAAAGAAAAAAACAGTGATGATCAAGAAATACGCTGATAGGAACAGAACAAAGCGTTGCACGAAAATTGTTTGGTATTTTGTAGCGTGGAAGTCAGCACATTGTGAGTAAAGCGTTTCCAAAAACCTGGAGGAACAGATGTGAATGAATTTGTTTTTGTAAAGCTTTGCATCGATAACTGAAAATACAAAGAGACAATTTGTGTAAGGTAGATACCTGTCGGCAGGAAAAGCATGATTAGTTACTAATGTTTATCCAGTACACTAGATGGGTGGGAAGCAAAAACTTATACCGTCACGATAAAAACTAGCAAGGTTTTCGTCCAGATCTACAAGTCACGTTATCCTTTTGCACTATTGTGCAAACGAAAACGTCAAATCTAAAAGTTTAAATGGTTTATACATCTAAGTGGGTTGCGTGTCTATGTTCTGTCTTCAAGGTTCCAGGTTTCCACGTTCGTGAGGACAACGAACGAGCCTTCTTAACTCCGTTCAATGAGAAAGATTATTGATGAAATATGTACTACACAACTTTAGTTCAAGTTCATGCTAACGATGAATTAAATTGTGATATTACAGGAAATCCTTTACCGATCGACTTTACAAAGAAAATGGAAATGGAGGAAGGATTAATTCCGAAGGAACTAAACCCACCTCAGTATCATCGTACTTGTACCAACGGTACGTTTTAGTTTTCGGGCAATATTGTCGAATAAACGAGTAGTAGTGTCCACCACCGGCCTGACCACTGTGTACAACAACACCACGTAACGTGTACCGTGTACATGTTGGATTGTTATCCCGTTCTTGTGATTCTGGTTGCGGGTCCGGACTGACTGATAGGTTCGATCCGGGTGGGGGAATGGTGCCAGACTGGGTCGTTTCGGACTGCTCTTGAGGATCGACCTCACTGAACGCCATTTTGGCCTCAGGGACGTGTTGACCTAGTCCCTGTACTGTGTACGGGTACATGTCTAACTCACGCGGAAATTCGAAATAATCATTGAACTTGATAGCCATATCACTGCAAAAATGAATAAAAGCACAATTTACAGAAAAATAAGCAAGGCACTGTATGAACACAGATGCTGTTGCTAAATCGGATCCTAATCATGGTAGGAGTCAGAGTTTCGTTATGCGAGAGAACCAATGATATGAGACCACACGTTCATGGAGAAAAATTGTTTCCATCTACTAACTGGTATAGATTACATAAGGAGTAGACTTGCAGTCAACGACATATTTTGCATAACCAGCAGAAAAATGTTCTAACGCACATTGCACAAATGTTCAACAATGCTCATAAATCTAATTTCACTTTGGAATCAGGGAAGGATAACTTAACGTTTTTTGACATCGCAATGTACAGGATAATCGATGGATTGCTTAAGAGAAGGGTATACAGAAGAGAGGCGTAGAATGGTTAAGGCACTGAATTTTACAGTTTCATGCCGGTTAGGTAAACGAGAAATCTTGTTCAGTGATTCACCTCATGTACACGAAAACTATGCTCAAAGTTAGCCGCGGAACTCGGTTATCTATCAAAAACATTCTCAGGGAAATGAATACCCTGAAAGACTCATAGAGAGACCTAGAAACAAACTGAAATATGAGCACGTTAAGGAACCTCCGAAAAAAAAGTGTTCTATCGAACTGCCATTCAAAGGAGCTAATTATAAAAGGTTTGGTGAGGGCAGTGAAAAGAGCCTTTGATAAAGCAAGTTTGTGAAGCGAGTTACAGACTCGCCAGTAATGAGAACATCAAATAAAGATAGTTTACGCAGTTTATGGTTGTTTACTTCTCTAGCTGTGTAACCCCACTTATATTGGACAAACGGCTAGGCAACTGTCCCAAAGGATTAAAGAGCTGCTGATACTTCGTCATGGCTGAAAGGTATCACTGGTAGCTCTATTATCGCTCCCCTTGCAGAATCAGGTCAAATAAGTTTTCTGAATTGTCTATGGAGTATGTACCAAATCGTTGTGTTCTCACACTCCAGCCACAGAGGAAGGTGGCAGGGCCTTCAAATTTCGGCCGTGCTATATTTTTTGTGCTCCAGTGAACGATTTATCAACTTTTACGTTACACATTCGATTTAATCGTTTGAATCAAGTTTTCTTTCATCGCTTTCATGATTACGTACGCCCCGGAATCTTTAAAGAATTTGCAACATTATGTGCTATCGCGCAAGAGTAGCATTCTCTATCAGTTCAGTCGTCAAGTTAAAAAGATATAAAAGATGCAGACCGTCTAGATTAAGCTTCCTCAGACAACACCGAGCAGGCTGGCAAGTGGCCTTACGTAACACAAAACCTGAGAAAATGTCTATCCCTGCCATTTATTCATTAAACGTACGATCACTTTGGCAAAATGAGCGACTTCACGAAAATGATAAGAACGAAAAAATACCATGCTATCTTTTTATTGTTAGTGGCGATTTTACCCATGCAGATATTCATTTCTTGACATGTCTCTCTCTCCACAATATTGTAAATTTCTCCACAAGAGGAAACGCGCGGCTAGACCTTATGTTTTCGAACAATCTTGACCTGTTTGCTGTGCGAAGAGGAGCCCTTTTGGCAAACTCCGAGCATTGTATCATTAATGTTTTACCAAAAGTCTATTCAGAGAAACATCACAGCACACTGACATGTACATCTAATCGGAAGATTTATTATAGGCTGTGTGGCCCGGTCCACTTGGCATCACCGAGAGAAATGGTCTCTGGTGCAAATTTTGGTCAGTTCTTTGATCCCAGTGTCTCGGTCGAGTGTGAACACCTCACGAGCTATTTGAACTTCTGCTTCGACATCTGCTGCCCCATAGCCCCTATATACATCAGTCCCGCAAAATTTTCTTCTCTCACTTTGAAGACCCTCAGAAGAACCAAGGAATGGGTATATAAAAATCGTGATCGACCTTTAGTTAAACAAATGTCAGTGCTGATCAAGAATGAGATGTAAAATCTTGACAAACTCTACACTGAAACCCTTCTTGGTGACCGTAACTGCAAACAAATCTGGAGCGCTATGAGAAAAACTTTGTGGAATAAAAGCCAGACTACGCGGGCCCCAACCAACCGCAGATGAACTCAACTGCATGTTTTTCACGTCAACTGAAACTGAAGTATAGCATCCTTATTTCCAATCAGTGGACCATCGTGAAGTTTCAAATGTCAATTCTAATCAGGTGCGTGCACAGCTGAAGTGCCTAAAAAAATCAAAAGCTTCCGATCCTGACGGACTATGCCCAGTCGTCCTCAGGGAATGTGCGCATTATCTGGCGGAGCCAATTGCCGGTATTTTCAACCGCTGCTTCGAGGAAAAAAATTGTCGACTGCGGGAGACCTGTGCGCATTACACCAGTTCCCAAAAAAGAAGCAGGGAAACTACAACCAATTGCCTGTATTTCTATTTTACTAAAAATTTCCGAAAAATTTATGGTCAGTAACATCACTTATAATACTGGGCAGCGAGATGAAAACCAATTCGCTTATCGCAAGCAACGTTCTACCTTAGGTACTCTCGCTCATTTGGTAAACTCAGTTTTGCGATTCCTAGACATGCACAGCAGGGCATTTCTTGTGTTTTCCTCGACTACAGTAACGCTTTTAACTGTGTTGACAGGAGCAGGCTTTTGTCTCTATTCCAAGGTGCTGGATTGTCCAATAATACCCTCTCTCTACTCGAAGATTATTTTGCTGGTAAAAAAAATTCACAAAGTTTCTTGGAAAAACCTCTGACTCCCTACCAGTCAATTCAGGGGTGCTCCAGGGAGCAATTCTGTCCCCCTTTCTTTTATCTCTCTATGTTCGTGACCTTCCCACTTACCCAAATGATCTTCTTATTACGTATGCTGATGATGTAACAATTGGTTCCAAATTCCAAGGTGATTTCCGCTTCTCACATCTTCAAACCAGTTTATCTGCCTTAAACTTATGATATTCGTCTTCCAAGTTATCTCTCAATGCATCTAAATGTAGCGATGTCACCTTTTCGCTCGCCAAGGGAGAACGGCTACATTCTTTTGAAAGAAATCGTTCTACACTCTATGTTGACAACCAACCTGTTCCCCCAGTACACTCTCTACAATACCTCGGTGTCACTCTCTGCCAAGATCTCACCTGGACCTCACATTTAACTTCTACTTTTGTGAAGATTCGAAGGTTGTTTCTTTATCACATGCTTGCGTTCTTTGAAAGTTCCACTGTATTTACTCTCTCGATTTGTATATTCTTGTGTTGTTACTCATCTCTACTGCTTCCCAGTTTTATTTGCCGGTCTTAGAGCTAAAGACTACACAATTCTAATCCGGTCTATTAAAATTATTTCTCACAGAAGCGGTATTCCTTATTTGAACTTGCTTAACTTTATCGCCGATAAACATTTTACCTCTTGCGATAACTTCTACAACGATATTCTATCGGACACCTTAGACACAGAACTTAAACAATGTATATCCACTTCTGTAACAATATGTAGTTATAAACTGGTGTACGTTCGTACCACTGTCTGTCATCCCCTATCTTTCGAGATTTCTGGTTCAAAAGGCATCCGTTAGAGAAAAATTCCTAAATTTCCTACGGAATTGATAATCGTTTTCAAACTTTTTACTCCACATTGCTTTGAATTGACGATGCTGTTTTTTTCTCACTTTTTTGTAACTGTATGCGACGATAAATGTTCCTGGAGTGCAAGAAGCTGAGAATCAATCCATTAGGATGAATAAAGCGACTTCTGACTTGACATTACTTTGTTCACACCCAGCCTATAACCCCAAAAGAGCTTAGCCCACGCCATTCCACCACAATGGCCGCAGTTCAATCGCACATATGACGAAGTTCAACCTGCTTACAAAAGTGTGATGACTTGTGTGAAACACGTTATAACAATCCATCATCCAACTCACAGTTAATCACTGTGACGTTCGACCAACAACAGCCCAAACAAGGAATCACTTAAAACAATTGTTAATATCTGAAAGTGTCCTCATGTCACTTCTCGGAGCATTTCGGAATCCAGAAACATGAAAACACATCACACCTAACCAGACTACGCCAGAAGAGGATTCGGGTAGCGGTTGTACTAATTGATCGCGGTGTAAAACACCTGGCATCGATAGAAACAAAGCGAGTAAGTTGCAGATAAGGAGATCGTACGATTGACAAAACAACATTTTAATCTGTCTGGTTTACCCTAGTCGATTCTGACCACACTCTGGTACATCCCCGATTTCTTTCAGATTATGTGTGGAATTCACAAATTATGCGGTGAACAGTATTTTCTGTCAACATACAATAATTGGTGGTTGCTTGTCTACAATAAGCTTTGCTATAATATGTGAGTGACAGGGCCGAGTGTAAGAAATAGCAGCGCTGATGCATCTTCTCATTTCACTTGGAAACTCTGGTCTACCATAATTCTCTATCCCCATTTTGACGCTGCCATCATTTTGTGAAGGTTTTTTAATGGTCCCACATAAATCTACCACAATTAATCGTTAATATGAAAACAAATAGAAACATATCACAGGTCCGAGTTTCATTTTTTCTAACAATTATTCCTTCACTTTTGCTCTAAGGTTTTGGCTGCCGCTTTGAATGAAAAACTAGGGGGAAATTTAAAATATTGAAAAGCAGTATTAAAATGGGAGCAGAGAAATCTGGCAGATAGTGCGCTCCTTGTTTCAGATTATTCACTCCTTGGGA